GGGTCCAAAAACACAGGGATTTGCCACATTTCTGAAATTCGGTGCCACCCCTCACGCAGATCCGCGGGGTCAGGGTCCAAAAACACAGGGATTTGCCACATTTCTGAAATTCGGTGCCACCCCTCACGCAGATCCGCGGGGTCAGGGTCCAAAAACACAGGGATTTGCCACATTTCTGAAATTCGGTGCCACCCCTCACGCAGATCCGCGGGGTCAGGGTCCAAAAACACAAGGGATTTGCCACATTTCTGAAATTCGGTGCCACCCCTCACGCAGATCCGCGGGGTCAGGGTCCAAAAACACATGGGATTTGCCACATTTCTGAAATTCGGTGCCACCCCTCACGCAGATCCGCGGGGTCAGGGTCCAAAAACACATGGGATTTGCCACATTTCTGAAATTCGGTGCCACCCCTCACGCAGATCCGCGGGGTCAGGGTCCAAAAACACATGGGATTTGCCACATTTCTGAAATTCGGTGCCACCCCTCACGCAGATCCGCGGGGTCAGGGTCCAAAAACACATGGGATTTGCCACATTTCTGAAATTCGGTGCCACCCCTCACGCAGATCCGCGGGGTCAGGGTCCAAAAACACAAGGGATTTGCCACATTTCTGAAATTCGGTGCCACCCCTCACGCAGATCCGCGGGGTCAGGGTCCAAAAACACATGGGATTTGCCACATTTCTGAAATTCGGTGCCACCCCTCACGCAGATCCGCGGGGTCAGGGTCCAAAAACACATGGGATTTGCCACATTTCTGAAATTCGGTGCCACCCCTCACGCAGATCCGCGGGGTCAGGGTCCAAAAACACATGGGATTTGCCACATTTCTGAAATTCGGTGCCACCCCTCACGCAGATCCGCGGGGTCAGGGTCCAAAAACACATGGGATTTGCCACATTTCTGAAATTCGGTGCCACCCCTCACGCAGATCCGCGGGGTCAGGGTCCAAAAACACAGGGGATTTGCCACATTTCTGAAATTCGGTGCCACCCTTCACGCACATCCATCGCAAGGCGTGGCAACCCAAACTGCGAGAACTCCCTCGGCCCTTTAATCGCAAGGTGTGGTAACCAAGCCCATAAACCATACACGTCTTACCAATCGCCAGGTGTGGTAACCCCTCTTGTGATCAGTTGGTTTTGCTGATTGCGAATCGGCGTCGCATGAAGTTTCGATACTGCTTCACGACAGCGCCAAGGCCTCATGACTTAGATCTTCCATGGCCCATTCTCCGAGAGAGGGGGCCGGCGGCAGGGGGCGAAGCCCTTACGGATAATATCACTTTTGGACACTCGACTTTGAAACCCTTACGGCACCGAAGGTTTCTTGAATGATTTTGGCATGCACGCACGACCAAGCGCGCGTGTGCATTTCGCCTTGTGTTTTTTCTTGTGCAAGGACTTCGTGGAAACTGATATCTGTTGATCCACGAGTGCGCGCGCATATTTTTTGCAGAGGATGGCGAGGGGGTCGATACTGGCCTGGCTGGGATGGCACGCGCTCATACTTAGGATGGACGATGGGGCAGAATCGCATGTAAATTGCTATACGAAAAAAGAGGCCGATAATCCCGGGGTGGGGTGGGGTAGGATCCACTTTCTTCTTAGAGCGGGTAATTATGTGGTGGGTTTTACCCTGCCGAACTTGATTGAAATTGTCAACGCCACTTCGCGCGCAACCATCCACGAGCCACCCACCCGCAGATGGGCTGGGATTGCAAAGCCCATGCGGCGGCGCTTGCGATGATTGCTCGGCGTTGGCTGGCACATCGCTGCGGCCGCGCTAGCCCGCGCAGGCTCGCGGGTAGAGCGGCCAGCGACCGACGCGGCCGCAGTGGCGCTGATCACTGGGCACGTCCCAATGCGTCTCGCACGCCGCGCTAACGCGCGGGCACTTCCGCGCGAGTCGTTGGCTCGGGCGGACGCGGCATCATGGCGACGTCGACAACGGCAGATACGATGATGATGATAGCGATGCTGGTGATGACGACCGTGACGACGGCAAGGCCAATGAAGGCGCCGATGCTGATCACGCCGGCGACGATGACGGTCTGGACGCGTCGGCGATGAAGGTTTTGGGGGGATGTTGACATGCGCACAAGGCCGACGCGCGCGAGTGGCCCGCATTGTATTCTTGTTGACAGGAATCGTGTCCTCCCAACACGCGCGCAAGAGCGTTCGAATCATTGACATGCGCACACTCCCGTTTGGTCGCGTTTGGTGGACATGTTCAAGCAGATGGCGTTCTTGCGAACTCGCAAGGACGAGCGCGCATAGTTGTTTGAGACCACATTTTGCAACACTCGTTGCTTGTCCGTTCGAATGTGTTCAGGGCACTCGATCTTTAAATTCTCACGGCGCCAAACGTTTTGACATAATTCAGCATGCGCGCGCGACGACGCGAACGTGTGGACCTCGCCCGCTGTTGTGCAAAAGGGTGTTTCCATGGTTTTTGATAAACGGATGTGCGCGCATAATGTAATGAACGACGGGGCA